GCACATGTCTACTCGGGAGGCTGAGGCAGGAGAATCGCTTGAACCTGGAAGGCAGAGGTTGCAGTAAGCCAAGATTGCGCCATTGCACTCCAGCCCGGGCAACAAGATTGAAACTGCATCAAAAAAAAAAAAAAAAAAAGTAAAAAAGAGAAAGCCCAGAGGAGAGCACAGCAGGGGAGACCTGGGAAGGAAGGGAGACAAGAGCTGGTGGAGCCTCCATCTCTGCCCTCCCTTCCCCAAACAGCATGGATGTGGATCAGACGCCTTCGGGTCTCACTGCCTACGTTAGCAGCGAAGGCCGAATAAAGTACGATAAGCCGATGAGGGTGACCAGCATCTGTAACCTGGACATCTTCTACTTCCCTTTTGACCAGCAGAACTGCACCTTCACCTTCAGCTCTTTCCTCTACACTGGTAAGTGGGACACAATTTGGTAGCTGCTTGAGATTCGGGCAAAGACATCTGAGCAGCGTAGGTGTTGTAGGAAAGGTTTTGGATCAGTGCTGCTCCCCTCTGGTGGCCTCACAGAGCTTTCTGGAAATGACAACAACTGGCCAGGCACAGCGGCTCACACTGTAATCCCAGCACTTTGAGAAGCAAAGGTGGGAGGAACGCTCATACCCAGGAGTTTGAGACCAGCCTGGGCAACGTAGTAAGACCCCTATCTCCACAAAAGATAAAAAGAATTAGTCCCAGCTACTCGAGAGGCTGAGGCAGGAGGATGGTTTGAGCCAGAGAGGGTGAGGCTGCAGTGAGCCATGATTACGCACTGCATTCCAGCCTGGGTGACAGAGTGACACTGTTTTTTTGGTTGTTTTTTGTTTGTTTGTTTGTTTGTTTTTGTGAACAGAGTCTAGCTCTGTTGCCCATGCTGGAGTGAAGTGGTGCAATCTCAGCTCACTGCAACCTCTGCCTCTCAGGTTCAAGCCATTCTCCTGCCTCAGCCTCACGAATCGCTGGGATTACAGGTTCCTGCCACCACGCCCAGCTAATTTTTGTATTTTTAGTAGAGACAGGGTTTCACTGTGTTGGCCAGGCTGGTGTTGAACTCCTGACCTCATGATCCACCCACCTCAGCCTCCCAAAGTGCTGGGATTACAAACATGAGCCACCGTGCCCAGCAGAGACTCTGTTTTTAAAACAAAAACAAAAACTTAACTGCACATCACCCCAGATCCCGATTAAATTGTTCCAGGTGGGGCCCAGGTGATGCCAACGTGCAGCCGCCGTTAAGAACAGCTGCTTTACGAGCTGGGTGGCCCTTGTACCAGTGAGGCCCAGCTGACTCCGAGCGGCAGCACACCCATAATTTTTAGCTCAAATCTTTTAGCTCTAATGGCTAACACACTTAAGAACCGGTAAATTAATATAACTGCGTGCCACCAGGTGTCATGCGGCAGGTTTGAATAAATTAAAACCATCAAAATGGGCATGCATATAATTATTAAAACATTGAGCTATTCAAGCCTGATTCCATGAAAACAACACCACACACCTGGGGGCTGAGAAGGAAACTAGAAATGACCCCAAAAGTTATTGACTCACGTTTGAGTCATATCCAATATTCCCTTAGCAACCTTGACCCACTCTGGTTTTCAACAACAAAAGAAATCAATGCTGCCACCCACACACATGTGAATGGCTGTTCTGGTTACCCACTTCGGAGAAAACCAGAATACCCTGCTTTCAAAGGACAGAGGAAAGCTTGTTTTAGAAGCTCAGTGGGGGAGGAGTCCCATTTCGTGGGTGGGAGGCTTGGGAACATGTCTGCCACAAACTGACTGGTCTCCATTCCAGTGGACAGCATGCTGCTGGGCATGGACAAGGAGGTGTGGGAGATCACAGACACGTCTCGAAAAGTCATCCGAACCCAGGGGGAGTGGGAGCTCCTGGGCATCAACAAGGCCACCCCAAAAATGTCCGTGGGCAGCAACCTCTATGACCAGATCATGTTCTATGTGAGTCCAGGGTCCATGTTTGACTTCTTATCCTAATAGTTCTGTGATTGCCCTCTTGACCTAAGGCTCGCTGGGAAGTGAAAAAGAAGCTCCAGGCCGGGTGCGGGGGCTCACACCTGTAATCCCAGCACTTTGGGAGGCCGAGGCGGGTGGATCACCTGAGGTCAGGAGTTCAAGACCAGCCTGGCCAACATGGAGAAGCCCTGTCTCTACTAACAATACAAAAATTAGCTGGGTGTGGTGGCACACACCTGTAGTCCTAGCTACTTGGGAAGCTGAGACAGGAGAATGGCTTGAACCTGGGAGGCGGAGATTGCAATGAGCCAAGATCGTGCCATTACACTCCAGCCTGGGCAAGACAGAGTGAGACTCCATCTAAAAAAAAAAAAAAAGAAGAAGCAGCTCCAGAGGATTGGGCACCTGCTCCCCAATGCCCCCTCTACCTGACTACCCTGAAGCAGAATCCCCAAGACCTCCCCCACACCCATTCACCTGCTCCTCATTCACCCCCTCCTCATTCACCTGCTCCCCATTCACCTGCTTCTCATTCACCCACTTCTGCTCTGGAAGGGGGAGGAATGGCTGGACCGTCATAAGCCCTACTGCTCAGAATAGAACAGCTCAGCCCTACTGCTCGGAATGACTTAAAGGGCCCACTTGCACCTAAAATTCTACAGTCATTGTGTTCCTAGTAGGTTAAAAATGAGTAAAAATTAGGCAACAAATCAGAGGCCCCTATGTAGATGAGCACAATTAAATGCACAAGTGTTACCTCAGGAGATTGTCCCCAGCAGCCTCAGCGCACGTTGGCAAGGATTCGTGGTCAGATATACAAATTAATCCCTCTGTCGACTGTTTATTTGCCATCTCTGCTCTCTCCCCAGGTGGCCATCAGGCGCAGGCCCAGCCTCTACATCATAAACCTGCTGGTGCCCAGTAGCTTCCTGATTGCCATTGACGCCCTCAGTTTCTACCTGCCAGCAGAGAGCGAGAGCCGTGCCCCATTCAAGATAACGCTCCTGCTGGGCTATAACGTCTTCCTGCTCATGATGAATGACTTGCTTCCTGCCAGTGGCACCCCCCTCATCAGTATGGCCCCTCCCATACTGGGAGCTCCGGGGAGGAGAAAAGGCATTGGGGTCAGAGAGGAGGGCCAGGAGAACTGGCTGGTCCTCTGCTGAAGGAAGGAAGGGGCTGTGAAGGAAGACTGGATTTGGGAAAGAGGAGTGAGAAATGCTTAGAGATAAATTTGCCTGTAACTGACCACCTGACAATTTAAAAAGAGAGAGAGATACATTTGCCTGGTTTATGTATAACTTGCTCTGCCCTCAGGTGTCTACTTCGCGCTGTGCCTGTCCCTGATGGTGCTCAGCCTGCTGGAAACCGTCTTCATCACCTACCTGCTGCACGTGGCCACCACCCAGCCCCCACCCATGCCTCGGTGGCTCCACTCCTTGCTGCTGCCCTGCACCAGCCCAGGGAGATGCTGTCCCACTGCGCCCCAGAAGGGAAATGAGGGCCTGGGTCTCACCCCCACCCACCTGCCCGGTGAGGGAAGTCAGCACTGCCCATACTCGCCCTCCTCACTGGCCCCACGCTTCTCTAATCCTGTCCCTTTCCCACTTCATGACTGAGTCTCTGTCCTCTCCACAGGCCCAAAGGAGCCGGGGGAGTTAGGGAAGGAGGTGAGACCCGGAGAGACCGAGCTAGATGGGGGCTCAGGATGGACAAAGACCCAGCTAGTGGAGCTGTGGGTGCAGTTCAGCCACGCGATGGACATCCTGCTCTTCCGCCTCTACCTGCTCTTCATGGCCTCCTCCATCCTCACTGTCATCGTCCTCTGGAACACCTAGGCAGACTTCCCCCCTCCCTGGCAAACCACAGCTTGGAGTTTCTGCTGGACTGAGGGCCAGCCAGACTCACTTTCCAATCTTAGCCACTTATCCCCAGTGACTACCATGTCCCCTTCTAAATTCCAAAAACTGCAACGTAGCACTACCAAGCAGGTTCAGGACAGCCCTGGACAATCCTGACTCCTCACACACCAGGCTGCTCATTCCTGCGTACCTTCAGAGTCCCCGAGCTACACCCAGCTCCTTCCTCCCTGATCAATAAGCCCAGGTCAGTGGAGTCCCCCTTCACTGATCACCCCAGTAAACAACTTTCCAGCAAACACTGGCTCTTCAGTATATTTACTTATTTATTTATTCATTTATTTATTTTTTGAGATGGAGTCTAACTCTGTCGCCCAGGCTGGAGTGCAGTGGCACGATCTCAGCTCACTGCAACCTCCGCCTCCCAGGTTCCAGTGATTCTCATGCCTCAGCCCCCCGCGTAGCTGGGATTACAGGCACACACCACACCCAGCTAATATTTGTATTTTTAGTAGAGACGGGGTTTTGCCATATTGGCCAGGCTGGTCTGGAACCCCTGACCTCAAGTGTTCCGCCCGCCTTGGCCTCCCAAAGTGCTGGGATTACAGGCGTGAGCCACCACGCCCGGCCAGCAGGTAGTTTTTCAATCATCCTCCTCCTCCAGACTTCCATTGCCAAGTAGCCCCCAGTGTCTATTTTTCCTTTCTTTGTGTCCATGTGTACTCAGTGTTTAGCTCCCACTCATAAGTGGGAACATGCAGTACCTGGTTTTCCTTTTCTTTTCTTCTTTTTTTTGAGATGGAGTTTCACTCTTGTTGCCCAGGCTGGAGTGCAATGGCACGGTCTCGGCTCCCTGCAACCTCCGCCTCCCAGGTTCAAGCGATTCTCCTGCCTCAGTCTCCCAAGTAGCTGGGATTACAGGCACCTGCCACCACGCCTGGCTAATTTTGTATTTTTAGGAGAGACAGGGTTTCACCGTGTTGATCAGTCTGATCTTGAACTTCTGACCTCAGGTGATCCACCCACCTTGGCCTCCTAAAATGCTGGGATTACAGGTGTGAGCCATGGCACCCAACAGTACTTGGTTTTCTGTTCCTGCATTAATTCACTTAAGATAAGGCCTCCAGCTCCATCCATGTTGCTGCAGAGGCCATGATCTCCTTCTTTTTCATGACTGTGTAGTATTCCATGTGCATATGTACCATATTCTCTATATCCAGTCCACCATTGATGTGCCTCTCTGTTGATTCCATGTCTGCTATTGTGAATCGTGCTAAAATGAACACAGGCTTGCATGTGTCCTTATGGTAGAGTGATTTACACTCCTGTGAGTATATATCCAGTAATGGAATTGCTGGGTCAAATGGTAGCTCTATTTTAAGTTCTTTGAGAAATCCCCACACTGCTTTCCACAGAGGCTGAACTATTTACCTTCCCAATAGCAGCATATACACGTTCTCTTTCCTGCACAACCTCTTCAGCATGCTATTTTTTCAACTTTTAAATAACAGCCGGTCTGACTGGTGTGAGGCGGTATGTCACTGGGTTTGGACTTGCATTTCCCTGATGATGAGTGATACTAAGCACTTTCTCCTATGCTTCTTGGCCGTGTGCGTGTCTTCTTTTGAGAAGTGAATACAGACTTGCTGAATGAGTAAATGTGTGAATGAATGCCAGCCGGCCAAAATCCGCATTTTACTAGCTCTAGCTGTAAATCCCTTCATCCCTTCCCAGTAGATTTTATTTTATCTTCTATATCGAATGTGGAAAATTAGCAACATATCTTCACGTGTCAACTATTTCTGAGTTCTTGGAAATGGTACTCAAACACTGGCAAAGGCATTTCTCATATCAGATCTCTCATTTTCCCTCTCCTTTCCATTACTTGGGACGTAGTTCCCACTCAGAAACTCAGTTGGTTTTTGTCAATAACTTAAAATGAAGAATGTCTATTAAGGCTTCGAGGAATTTCAAATTTCTTAAGATCACTTTTGTATCATTTCTTTTTCCTTCCCCATTTCCACGTTTATATTTCTCTAGACGTCATCTTGCAATTTTTTTCATACATATGCAACTTTGGGTTTTCTGTGCTAAGACTTTCATTTGACAATGCCCTTTGCAAAAGAACATTCTGCTGATCCGTGCACGGGGAAGTGATATTCGTGGGCTAAAACATGACCAGACAATGAAGCAAAATATATCAAACTACTGCTAGCCAACACAGGTCAGCAGGAATGTTAGGGGTGTTTCACAGTTTGGGAGGGAGTGGTTCTGGCTTCTGATCTCTCCCATTTTAAAAAAGAGAAAAGGAGGGATGTGGTGGCTCATGCATGTACTCCCAACACTTTGGAAGGCCTTGACGGGAGGATGCTTAAGCCCAGGAGTTAGAGATCAGCCTGAGCAGCATAACAAGACCTTGTCTCTACAACAACAGCAAAAATCAGCTGAGCGTGGTGGCTTGTGCCTGCAGTCCCAGCTACTGGAGGGGCTAAGGGGTCTCAGCTAATTGGGAGGCCAAGGGGGGAGGATCGCTTGAGCCCAGGAGGCCTGGGCTGCAGTGAGCAGTGATCACACCACTGCACTCCAGCCTCGGCGACAGACTGAGATTCCATCTCAACAAATAAATAAATAAAAATACACACACACGATAGCCCTTGTGATAATAACTTTATTTTTCCCTCTATTTTCTATTAAAATCCTCTGTGGGAGTGTACACTGGAAATGTATGAACCCTATAAAAATCAGACAATGGGCCCTGGATACACCGCTCTCATCAAATGCTTGATTACTGCCTGACTTCTTGGGTCATTGCTACTCACGCCCCACTCTCTCCTTTCCTCAGCAGCAGTCAGGGTTATGCTCAGGACCTCTTCATGTTTCACTGTTTCTTTTCTATCTTTCTTTCTTTTTTTTTTTTTTTTTTTTGATGGAGTCTCGCTCTGTTGCCCAGGCCAGAGTGCAATGGCGCCATCTTGGCTCACTGCAGCCTCTGCCTCCTGGGCTCAAGCAATTCTCCTGCCTTAGCCTCCCAGGCAGCTGGGATTACAGGCACCTGCCAGCAGGTCCAGCTAATTTTCTTTGTATTTTTAGTAAAGATGGGGTTTCACCATGTAGGCCAGGCTGGTCTCGAACTCCTGACCTCTGGTGATCCACCCATCTTGGCCTCCCCAAAATGCGGAGATTATAGGTTTGAGCCCCCGTGCCTGGCCTATTTCCTTATTATTTAAATAATTCTCAGAAGACTTTCTCCAAGAAGAATTTCTCCCTACTTATTATTTCAGTAGTTTACATATCTGACCATTCTTATGGTATGTTTTTTGGTGGGGGATTCTTTTGTTTTGGAGGGTTCTTTGAGACACAGTCTCACTCTGTCGCCCAGGCTGGAATACAATGGTGCGATCTTGGCTCGCCGCAACCTCTGCTTCCTGGATTCAAGCAATTCTCCTGCTTCAGCCTCCCGACTAGCTGGGATTACAGGCATGTGCCACAACTCCCGTCTAATTTTTTTTCTTTTTGTATTTTTAGTGGAGACAGGGTTTTGCCATGTTGGCCAGGCTGGTCTCACACTCCTGACCTCAAGTGATCTGCCTGCCTCGGCCTCCCAAAGTGCTGGGATTGCAGGCGTGAGTCACCGCGCATGGCCTGTCATCATCACCTTTGATTCCTTCCATCTTCTGGAAATCCAGAAAGTCTATGGACAATACCGTATTTCACACTTATCCCCTCTCTTCTTTCACCTCCATTTGTTTTCCTGAAAACCAAGCTCATCTGTCTGCTCTTCCCACCACTCCCTCTCTCCTTCCTCTGTTACTCTCCCCGTATTTTTCCTTCTACCAAGCCTTCTACTAACATTCCTCCTTGATCGTTTTACTAGCTCATTTGCAAACCTCTCATCCACATCTAGCATTTAGGAAAATGAGTCTATATCATCCTTAATTCAAAGGTGATGCTTATGATACTGATTATCCCATATATATGGCATAGATGTCAAAATCTACACAAAATAAGTAGCATTTAAAATACACTATCATAGCCAGGCATGGTGACTCATGCCTGTAATCTTAGCACTTATGGAGGCCAAGGCGGGCAGATCACCTGAGGTCAGGAGTTTGAAACCAGCCTGGCCAACGTGGTGAAACCCTGTCTCTACTAAGATACAACAGATTAGCCAGACATGGTGGCAGGCTCCTGTAATCCCAACTATTCGGGAGGATGAGGCAGGAGAATTGCTTGAACCTGGGAGGCGGCGGTTGCAGTGAGCCAAGATTAGGCCACTGCATTCCAGCCTGGTTGACAAAGTGAGACTCCATCTTGAAAAAAAATAATATAAATAAATAAATAAATAAATAAAATAAAATACACCGTGAGAATGTTCTACCACACGTGTGGCCGCCTGTTGCGAGGACCGCTGTGAGGTTTGCAGCTTCTTACAAGCAAGCATGAACTTAGGTGCAATTTAGGAGACAGAAGAGAAACACAAATAGGAAATAGGTCATTCTCTAAGATTCTTCCCTTCAGGGTAATTTTGTCATTCTGTCAAATGATCCAAAGATCTGGGTCTCCTTTTACTCCCTAGCTTTTGCTCCACACTGCTTTTTTTTCTTTTTCTTTTTTTTGAGACAGAGTCTCGCTTGTTGCCCAGGCTGGAGTGCACTGGTATGATCTCCGCTCACTGTAACCTCTGCCTCCCAGTTTCCAGCGATTCTTGTGCCTCAGCCTCCCAAGTAGCTTGGATTACAGGTGTGTACCACCATGCCTGGCTAATTTTTGTATTTTTAGTAGAGACGAGGGCTCATTATGTTGGCCAGGCTGGTCTCGAACTCCTGACCTCAGGTGATCTGCCATCCTCGGCCTCCCAAAGCTGTGAGCCATCACACGTGGCCTGCCTCAGCCTTCTAAAGTACTGGGATTATAGCAGTGGGCCACCACACCCAGCCCAATAGAGTTTCTATGTATTTCAAGACGAAGAAAAATGATCCCTATAAGCAAGTTTAAGATATAGACAAGAATGAAAGCAAAGAAAATGATGAATATGTAAGTAAATATAGACAAGATTGCCTAGATGAAATAATATCCATAAGGTGCTTAAAATTGTAAAAAAAAATCTAAAACGCTGGAAAATAGAATGTAAATGGGGTGGAAGGTAATTAGAATTAAAGCATTCTAAGGTTCTTATGTTTTCAGGAGGGCAGAGATGCTGATTACCATTAGATGCTGTTATGAATGGATATTGCTCAAGGTTAGTCACAGAAGCATATCCACCAGGAATGATACAGAACATGAGATTTCTCACAG